TCCCGGGGGGGGGGGGGGGGGGTTTTTGGTTTTTTTTTTTTTTTTTTTAATTTTCTTGCTTTGCCCCAGCTTTATGTGATGTTATTGATCCTGGGGTGGGGCGGGAATAAAATTCTGGGCTGTCTTACTCCTTTCTCTTAGCTGGCCCAATGTGGAACAACAGTGGCATCCAGTGGCCACAGAGCCCAGAACAAAATGCAGGAGGAAATGTAAGTGCTAAATGGCATAGCTGGGCACAGGGGCAGCTCCGAAAGGGCTGAACTTTTAAGTCTTCTGAGCTAGGAGGCCACCGGTTTCGCATCCCCTTAAAGCGGGGAAACTCATACGCTGAGGACTAACGGGGTGACTTCTCTCCTCGAAGGAACTGGCGGCCGAGCGGGCCAAGGCGGTGGCCGTGGAGGGCAAGCTGAAGGAGCAGCTGCTCACCCGCGAGCGGGAGATCGCGGCAGTGCAGGCACGCATGCAGGCCAGCTACCAGGACCATGTCAGCGAAACGCAGCAGCTCCAGGGCAAGGTGAGCCCTACACTGTGCTCTGCAGCTTCCTCCTCTGGCTGCCAGGTGGCTTTTGGTGGCAGATGCGTGGTCTTTTGGAGAAGACTGAGATGTGTGAGGGGACCAGAGCCTCAGGGAGGGGTGAGACCCCCCGATGCTCCTGGACCATGGTGCTCGAGGGAGAAGAGGCACGTGGGAGCATCCTCATGGGATGTCGCATCCCTGGGGGCTGTCAGCATCAGTAGACACCCCACTGTGTTGCCAGTCCCTCTTGCTCATCATGTGGGCTTCAGGGAAAGCAAAGGGGCCGGCGATGGCATTAACCCCTGTTGGACTCCTCTAGATCCGGACCCTTCAGGAGCAGCTGGAGAACGGCCCCAACACGCAGCTGGCTCGCCTGCAGCAGGAGAACTCCATCCTGAGGGACGCCCTCAACCAGGCCACCAGCCAGATGGAGAGCAAGTAAGGCCAAGGCGTTGGGCAGAGCCTGGGGCTGCCCTCTGGCAAACCTTGGGGTTGGCTGTCCATTGGGCTTGGCCATCCCCTTTCTTGAAGGTGCTTCTGCAGACACCCCAACTAGCTGGAGGTAGAGGAGGGAGCGAGGAAGAGCTTGCCAAATGGCTTTTGGGGGACTGGCAGGGGAAACAAGGATGTTCTTTGCAAGTGGAAGGGCAGGGGAAACCCTCTCTGCTTTGGGGCCACCTGTGCTGATGCTAGAGCCAACAGGCAGCAGAGGCGGGGAGAGGGGACCAGAAGGTGTCATGGCACTTCCCCCCTTCGGGGAGCTCGTACTCCCAAACTTCAAAAGAAATGCAGCTGGCTCTTTGATGGGAGTGATGCTGCAGAGAACCGAGACCTGCCTGGTGCATGCAGAACAAATAGGAGCTAGGTAGAAGAATTTCACACTCCTTTTTATAGAAAGTTTGAAATGGCTGGTGATTAGCAGCGGTCAAATAATTACAGAGCGGACTCCAGCTGCTTGGAGTGCTTCCTCTTGTGTCTGGGAACACAGATCCTTGCGTCCTCTACTTCATGAGAAAGGAATGTCTCCTGTGATTGAAACGCGGCTTTTGAAAAGTGATTTGTCAACTCTTTCCACCCCCTCCCTGAAGGACCAGGCGTGCCCTAGAAACAGGCGAATGCAACCATTGAGATGTTTCAAGTCCTGTATCAGGCCCACAGGAGGATGTGTTCCTCCCTAGGTAACATCAGAGATGCTTGACTGGCCTGCGGGCTAAAGTAACCCTGCTTCTGTTGGTGCAGGCAAAACGCTGAGCTGGCCAAGTTACGGCAAGAGTGCAACAAGCTGATGAAAGAGCTGTCTGAGAAATCGGAGGTGCTGCAGCAAGAGGAGCAGCAGAAGAAGAGCTGGGAGATCAAAGCGGTGGCCTCGGAGAAGCAAATCGAGCAGCTGCAGGTCAGGCAGGCACCAGCAAACCCGCTCCCCTCACAGAGATGGGGCGGGTGGCTAAATTGCATGGGATCTGTGGACTTGGCCATGGGAAGAGCTTGGAGGGAGATGAGCATCCACAGTTGGAAAGCAAGCTGCCTCACGGACCTCTTAATTGCCTCCCCCCCATTAGTTTGTCACATGCAGTGCGCTTTTTGTGCAGCATCACCAGCAAAGCCCAGGGAGCATGGTGCCCTGGTTGAAGCTGTTCTTCTCACTCACCTGTGAAGCTGACGAGCCTGGTGTGAAGGTGTGGGGGGTAGCCTAGATGATGCACGCTGCTGGGTGGTACCCTAAGGCGAGAGGAAACCCACGGGCCCCCGCCAGCCTGTGCTCATGTGGACGTGGGTGCTGTCTCTCGACTCAGCTGTTTTTAAGTCTGTTGCTCTCCCTCCTTGGTGCAGGAGGTGGAGCTTGTGGCTTTTTTGTTGTCACCAGGGTGTGGCTGGGTTTGGGGTTTTTAGGGGCGTTTAAAGGACACCTCCCAAGTAGAGCCTCTGAGTACGTGGTCGGTGGAGGAGCAGCGGCGCATTGCCGGCAGGCAGGCTGTACCCACGCAGGGAAGAGCATCTTCTGGGGGGATGGCAGCACTCCTGCTGGGATTCGGCTAAGCCGGGGGCTGGGAGAATTGATCCTGGGTACCCCTGACCCAGGAACTTGCACTTTGTTCCCCCAGGGGTGGCAGACAGGGTGAGGGATGTGATGTGTCCCTCCTGCACGTGCTGTGGTCTCTGAATTGCTCTGGCCTCTTTACGAAGGGGCTGTGGTGGTGGAGACCTTTGCACATGCCAAAATGGTTTTGTAGAGGTGCTCCTAGAGCAAGGGGTCTTCGATATCCTTGCTCTTAATTCTTTGGGTGCCTGGGGATGCAGATCTCCTTTTGGTGGGCTGTTTTTGGCCCCTGCTGCTTTTGCAGGCGAGGAGCAAGGAGGATGATGTGGGCACGCAACTGGCGTGAAGGCAGAAGCTGCCTTCCTGGCTCAAAACACCAGCTTCTAGGCATGCTTTCAGGAGAACTTCTCCAGGGCTGTCAGCTTGCTGCACACCTTAATACTAATTAAATAAATCATACTAGCTGGAAGACTTTAAAGCCAGCAATGTGTTTAAGGTGCTAGGGAGAATGTGCTCCAGAGTAACACCTGGAGCTCTGAGCTGAGGATACGGGGTCAAGTCCTCAAAAAACAGAGAAGTCCTGCTTTCTTGGTGGTTCTGGAAGCATCACTCAGACAGAGACAGGGCTGCTGGTTTACCTTCTTCTTCTGTCCCCTCCATGCAAAGCAACGTTTCTCCGTCTGCAAGGGTGCGACTCGCACCCGTAGAGCTGCTGGTTTGCAGCACGGTCCTCGTCCTCCTCCTCTGCCTTCCCCCTCGAAGCGCCTGCCTTGGCCAGGCCTCTTCCTCACTGCTTTCTAAGATGGAAAAAAAAAAAGTCTTCCCTGGCCCAAACCGCACAGAAAATTCCTTCGCGTGTGGAAACACGTGGCTGGGTGTCTGTCCTGCTAAGCACCGTGGCAGTGCCTCTCCCTGCTGGGCTGGGACTGTGCGTTAGGACCAGGGCTTTAAGAGGTTTTTCAGAGCTTAGCTCTCCGGAGGGGAGGATGGCCGTGGCCTTGGCCCAGAACCGAGACGTTCGGGTGTTGTCTGCTTCCCACTTGAGGGCTGGCAAATGATAAAACGCAAGTGCGAGGCAAGATGCTTCATGCACAGGGGGAGTGCGGGGGAAGGATGACTTAAACCCCCGAAAGCACAGCTTAAAAATAACATTATGTGACACACGGAGCTTTGCTTCAAATTGGCAAATTGGGTGCCTGGCACGCTACGGAAAGCCTTCTCTTCCTGCCGTGCAGGCTTCCCAAAGGGAGGTGGAGGCGACGATGCAGAAGAGGCTGGATGAAGTAAGCGACGAGCTCCGCAAAACCCAGACCAGCTACAAAAGCTTGTTAGCAGACGCAGAAAAGGCTAAAGGACAGCAGCAGAGCATTGCTGGTGAGGACCTTGGATCGGTGCAGGGAGAGCTGTGGGGCAGACTTGGAGCTTTCAGGGCTGGGTGCTCGGTGGGGCTGGTCGGGGCAGGACAAGTAGACCCAGGGATGAGTTAGGCTGCCTGGTATCGGTGTGAGCAAGACGTGGGACTGGTCCGTGGTCCTATCCTAGGATGCCACTCCAATGGCTCTCTCCTATGCTGTCCTGCATCCCTGCCTGCCCTTTCTGTGCCTCCTGAAAGCATCCACGGCCAAGGCTTCTTTGGCCAAGAGTCCTGCTTGGGCAGGGCAGGGTGGGTGGGGAGCCTCCAAATTTCTTGGCACTTACCTTACCATGTTTCTCACCCCTTCCTCCAACAGAACTGCAGGCCAAGCTGCTGAGCTCCGAAGCGGAGGTTAAAAGCAAGTTGCTGGAGCTGGACAACGTGAAGGGGAAACTGCAGGGTGCCAGCTTGGAGAATACGAAGCTCCTGGAGAGGATCAAATCCATTGAAGCTCTGCTGGAGGCAGGCCAGATGAGGGAGGCAGAAAAAGACAGAGACTTGAAGGTCGCGTGCTCGTTTAATTGGGGTGGGAGGAGGAGAGGGGGTTACACCGCTCAAGCAGGTGTTTTTGCACTGTGTTAACACAAGACCTGTGTTATCTTTGCTCTGGGATCCCCTCTGGGATGCCACAGAAAGGGCTGACCTGCATCACGTGCCTAGGACAGGTAACGAAAGTGCTTTCTCTCTTCCAGGCAGCCAATGAAGCAGAAATGAAGCAGCTGCGGTCAAGGTGGGTCCAGGTGCACATGGAGACTGCTACAGCACCTCCAGCTTGCTGTCCATGTGTCCCAGGCTTCCCCGGGGCGCTGAGCCCTGTGGGTGAAGGCTTCCCACCCTCTCTGTTAGGCAGGCTTGGGGACTGTGAAGCTGGGAAGACAAGGTCAATCCTGGCCAACACAGCTGTTTAAAATATTAATTGGCTCCAGTGCTGGCCCCAAATAACAGCCAGTCCATTCTGAAGTGAGACTGTAATTGCTGGCAGGCACATGGAGGCTGACTGGTCCTGCAGAATACGAGATTCTGGTGGTGTTGGTGCTGGGGGTGGGATGTCTCTGATCCAAGCCCCTGCTCAAAGCTGGGCCAACCAGCGGAGGCTTTTTGGGGATGTTTTCAGGTGTCTCCAAGGATGGAGATTCACCACCTCTCTGGGTCCCTGTTCCAGTGTTTGACAACCTCTTCCTCCCCAGTGCAGAAAGGTTTCCTTGGCATTTAAGTGAAGTTTCCCATGTCACGACTCATGCCTGTTGCCCCTTGTCCACATGCTGGGCACCTCCAAGAAGGCTCAGGCTTTGCACGGGGGAGGATTTCTCAGATGCCTCCACTGCCAGCAAGCATCCAGCATTCCTCTAAAGGAGGGCAGCTGTTCAGTTGTCCTGGGGCCCCAAGAGACTTGGGTGGTTCTTGTCAAGGACCTGAACCTTCCTTGGTCTGCTCAAGCTGAGGCTCCTTTCAGGGCAGATAGTGGATCTGAGGGTGTGGAGGGAAGCTGCAGGCTCTCAGACATCTAATTGTCAGCCCTGATTTATGGTTAGTCAAGATAGTAGGATGGTGCTTTCGAAATGCAGAGCTGTGGGCTATCTCAGCCCAACGAGCCGTGGACAGGAGTGTATCGGGAGGCGTCCCAGTTGTGTAAGCTGGAATTTCTGGCCTTTGGATCAGGTTACTTCTTCCTCTTGTCCTGTGTGTACAGCCAGCCAGCTACTCGCTTGTTATTGCTGATAAACTGGTAGAAAATGAGATCCCACTCCAGCATTGCCGCGGCCATGGTTTTTAGTCCCACTCCCTCCTCCTCCCGTTGTGTGTGGATCCCGGAGGAGACCGGGATAGGAAGGGCTGTGGTCCCCTTCTTGACAGCTCGCTGCCCAGGAGGGAGGTGGATGCTGAGACTCACTCCTGCATCCTGCCCTTCCAGGCTCCAGGAGAAGACGGACCAGCTCTCATCCTTGGAAAGGGAAGCCACAGAGCTGCGAGAGGCGATGGAGCAACAGAAGATGAAAAATAATGTACGTGAGTGAACCAGGCTTGGCTTTTGCTGCTCACAATTTTTTCCTCCAAAACCCAGATCTCTGGGGTTTGAATGACAACCCATCGTAGTCGGCTACCAATGGCTCCGTGGTGTGGCCAGAGGCTCTTCCAGCCCCGTGGAGCACTGGAGGCATTACCTTGTCTGCTGGAGAGCAGGAATCCCCCCGGCAGGCTGCGCAGCTCAAGCTGATGGGCTGCAGCAGGCGATGGGCTGCATGGGTGCAGGTGTCTGTCCCCTCTTCCCTTGGGAGGTTTAGGACCTGGTAAGCCAGGAAGATCCTACCCCAGCAGGGTCAAGGCAGTCCCTGAGCAGGGGTCCCTCACACCTCATTGTTCCTCTGCTCCTTAACCCTCTACTGCAAGGTGGTATCAGTTGTGTGGAGGCAACCTTGCAGCCCTCCACTTGGCCTGTGTCCTCGCCAGGCAGCTCTAGGCATCCTGAGGGCTGCTTCTGGAGCTCCTGCCTCCATCCAGCTCTGCTCTGCTCCCTCAAGGCCACTGCCTGAGTGATGCAGTGCATTGGGCCACTGCAAGGATGGAGAAGAAAGGGGTGCACGTGGGCAGTGGGATGGAAGACCCTTGACAAAAGCGACGGGCTGCTGCCCGTTTTCCTGAGCGGAGGCTTTGAAATCCTCCACAGTGCCAACAAGCAGCCTGGTGGCCTTCGGTGTGATGTGTGGCTTATTGCCCTCTGTGTGTGGTCTTGGCAGGACCTTCGCGAGAAGAACTGGAAAGCAATGGAAGCGTTGGCCACGGTGGAGAAGGCGTGCGAGGAAAAACTGCTTGCTGCTACAAAAGCAAAGGTGAGCCTGGCATTTCTCTGTAGCGGTGATGCTGGTGTTGTAAGGGAAACATTCAGCCTCCCTGAGCCACCAGAGATGCCTGCCCTGGGTTGCCTGCCTCCTCTTAGAAGCAATGCTGGCCCAACCCTCCTGCCAGCTTCTCTGACGTTTGTCTTGAGGGCCGTGTATCCCCAGTACAGGTCATGGTCGGGGAACCGGGAGGATGGGTGAACTGGAAGGGACGTTTTCGTGGTTCTCAGCGGCAGCGGTTTTCTCTGTTCGCTGGTTTCCCTGTGCCGGCTCGCCCTTGTAGGCACAGAAAAGCAGGACTGGTATTGGCAGCCTGGCTGGCAGGCACCAAAGACCGCCATCCCATGCCAGGTTGTCCCTCTTACAGGAAGAGCTGGCCCAACAGCTGGACACGCTCCAGACGCGAACCAAGCAGACGCTGCTCTCTGCCCTCCCTGGAGTTGCCGTGTCCTCGCAGCAGGTGGGCACGGGCTTTCTCAGACCCCCGCAGAGCCTCTGCTGCATGGGAAGAACAGATGTCTAAGCGTCCTTTTTCTTCCTTGTCTTCTTTTTTTCAAACTCAGGATTATGACACGTGGCTACAAGAGTTTACGGAGAAGACCGTGGATGTGCTAAAGCAGCAGACAATTACAACAGAGCCCCCGGTAAGTGAAGGGGTTGGAAAGTGGAGGGGCGAGGGAGTGCCTGAGGGTCACTCGTTTCTTTTCCTCACCTCTCTCTCCATCCCTTCCCTCTCTTTTCAGGATTCAGCACTTAAATTAAGAGAGGCAGAGGAAGCACAAAGCACTTTACAAGCAGAATGTGAGCAGTATAGAGCTATCCTTGCAGAGACGGTAAGTTGCAGCCCTTTGTGCTGTGTTGGTCTTCCACTAGAAATACCTCGAGAGGTTTCCCGGCAGCCCAGACTGCCCATGGGCTCATGGTGAGCATCCCTCAGTATGTTGGGGGGCTCCTGTGTGGAAAACTATTTGCCAGTGAGACAGGGGAACAGGAGAAACCTGAATTTCTAGAGCTCTTCTTCAGCCTAATTGTGTTGGAAACCTTCCTGGTGGTGGTGGGATGTGGCACAGCAAGGGCTCTGATGACCAGGGTGGTTGAGCCAGCCTAGGAACTGGGAGCCCCTAGCCCCTACCTGGGGCACCTAATTCTGTCACCCATTCTTTGGCCGAAATCCTTGGAGAGGTGTTGGGTATGCCAGAGCTTCCAACCCTGACACTGCTCGGCTTGGGAGGGCTGGAGGAGGTTTGGGCTCAGCTGAGGCTTTGCCAACAGGAAGGGATGCTGCGAGACCTGCAGAAGAGCGTGGAGGAGGAGGAGCAGGTGTGGAAAGCAAAGCTCACGGCGTCTGAAGAGGAACTCCAAAAGGTGCGTGTTTGGGGCACACCTGGGTTTGTCGCTTGTGGAGCTGGGCTTAAGGAGCAGAGGGGCTGTTGGCTATAAATCGGATGGTGACTGTTCCTGCCAACCTTGAACTCTGAGACACAGGGACTTTCTCTTCTCCCCAAATCCACCCCTCCTGTCACCAAACCAGCAGACAAGAAGCCCACCTCCCGTAGGAGCTAAGCCTCTCTTCCTCCTGGATCCCACCTCCCTGCCTGGTGTGTGCCTAGACCCTGCCGGTGGAGCTGGAGGAACGGTTGCAGCTCCCCGTTTCAGGCATGGGAGTTGGGAAACCACGTCACCGCTTCAGCAATCCAAGCTCTGATGCTTGGAAATTGGGCTGAGCCCTCCTGGTGGGCGCTGGCTTGACAGGAGGAGAGCACGTGCAGGGCTCTGCTCTTGGACTCCCATTTCCAGAAGAACTTGGCTTGCTCTCAAAACCCGGGTTGACCTTGGCGTTCGTTGAGCTTTCAGAAAGGAGCTGAGGTCCAAGCCACGTACTGCACATAGTTTTGGGTCCAGCTGTCCGTCTAGCTCTGGGTACTGCTCTTCCTAGTTAAAAAGCCATCTGGCAGCTGCTAGAGAGCCGTTGTTGCCCAGGAGTTTGGTGGGGAGCGTGTTTTGTGAGCTCTCGTGGCTTAGCTGGAGTCTAGGAGAACTTGGCTGGCCGTGCCTTTTCTGCAAAGTGTACTTAAATTACCTCCTCCCTCTTGAATGCAGAACCGAGATGAAGCTACTTTCCACGGTCTGGCTGCTCCCCATCCATCACGTGGGATTTTGAAGTTAACTGGGGCTGCAGGGAGGTGGGGGAGTTCTTGTACAAGAGATCTTTGATTTCTCAGCCTGTAGCTGGCTCCTGCGGCGCCAGCGCTGCTGAGGGCTGGTGTCGGATTGCATGGGGATGACGTGGCAGCAGGGTGTGCATGATGGGATGAACGTCTGGTGGCTAGGGCAGGTCCCAGAGCAGTCCTGCCTCTCTGTGGAGAAGAGGTGAATTCCTCCTTTCCAAAAAATTCAGCAACCATGGAGTCCTCTTCAAAAATCAGTCCAGGTTTAAATGCAAACCCCATCCTTTTTCTGATAGCGTGGCTTCTCTTAATAGCAAAGCCCATGACACCTCATTGGAAAGTCTACCTTGCTGCTTCCAAACCAAAGGCGCTTTCAGTAGGAAACTTGCACCGAGTCTGGTGCCAGTTTCTCAGGTGTTGAAAGCTGACTGCAGCCAGCTGAAGTCCTGCAGGCAAAATCTGTTACCTTGCTCCACGATTTACGGCCTGGGCTTGTTTGACTTGTCCTCCCTGGGAAGAAGAGCTCCTGCCCTGCAGGCTGTGAAGCTCCGCTTTGGTGTCTCAGGTCTCTTCCGCACTTGAGTACAGGATGAAGTGGGAGAGGTGGGAGTGAAACACTGGCCGTTTTTTGGTTGAATGGAAGATGCTCAGTGTCCATGTGAGATGCCGTTCACTGACCTTCTCTGATCCTTTCTGGCTTAGTCGCAACTCCAGCTGAAATCCCTTGAAGACATGGTGGAGAAGTTGAAAGCAGATCTGCAGAGCACAGATCAGGTAAGGTTTTTTGGGTACGGGAGAAGGTCCCCGCACAGGTGCCAGACGGATGCATGCTGTGCTTGGGCTGAGTCGGGACCCATCTCCTGACTTGCCCTGGGGAAAGGGTCCTGCCTTGGCTTGGACCATGGGATGTTTGGGATGTGTTGGACCTCAAACAATCAACCCCCTCCTGCTTTCCTCCCTTTTAATCCAGCTAAAGCAATACACCTCTCTTCTGGAAACGCAACTGGAAAATCACTTGGAGACAGCCAGCTCTGAACGCCAAAAGTACACAAAAGAGGTTGAAGTCGTAAGTGTGGTGGCCGTTACCTTCTTAAACGCTTCTTTCTTCTAAGCCTGACTCACCACCCATGTTTCGGGGATTTGGGCAGTGCCCCAGGGATCTGCAGCTTTGCAAAGCAGGAGAAAACAGATGGAGGTGTTTGCTCCTGTCTGGGTTGTAGACACCTAAAGTTAGGAGGTCTGTCCTATCAGGCAAGGTGATGGGACAAGGAGATCTGTATGGAGATGCTATCCACTGCTCCTTGGTGGCCTGTGGGATTTTTGTGGCTCAGGTGAGACAGAGCTGTCTCACAGCCATCTCTCTCTCTGAGCAGGCATCAGCAGGCAGGTTAGCAAGTGATGCCATCATGGCTCTTTGACAAGATGTTGCATTGTAAAAATGTTTCCTTGGGGCAAAGGACTCCAAAACCAAGTGCATAAATTGACTTTTTTTTCTTTCTGTTCCTCCTCGACAGTTGAGGCAGCTCTTGTCGGAATCCCGGGAGCAGCTGGAGGCAGCGAAGACGGAAACGCAGAAGCAGAGCAAGGAGCTGGCCCTGGTAAGGGGGGACCCCTGGAGCTGCCCTGCTGGGACCTTGCTGCTCTGCCTGGGGACGATTTGCAAACCCACCTGTGGCCACAGCATCCTCCCTGCAGGTTTGGGGAGGAGAGGAAGGCACAGCCAGCACACGGGGAAACCCGGTGCTGCCGGGCACCAGACTGACCCGGTTTTCAGAGGGGATGTTTGAGACCCAGGAAGAGATTTTTATTCGCCTGCCTTTCCTCCCGTGATGGGGGTGGGAAGGAAGGGAGACCAGCAAGGTTTGCGCAAGCTGGCGTGTAGCAGAAGAGCCCAGCCGCCCCACCACTGGACACTGGTTACCCCAACACCACCCTAGAGCAGGGGTTTGGGTGCCGTAAGCATCCATCCATCCACCTCCAATGGGAGGATTGAGGCTGTGCAGCCCGTGTGTAGGAGTCGCTCGGGGATCTGAAGGATGGGGCTAGGTTTCTGCAGGTATGTGGGGAAGAGGACTGGGGTATAGGGCTAGGAGGGCTAACAGACCTGCCAAAACCATGAAGGCTTTTGTTTTTAAATCCATGCTTTGATTGTGAGAGGCTCAGGAGATTGTTTTTAAAATCTTCAGCGGCACCGCTGGCTTGCAGAGCTGCTCAGAGCAGAGCGAGCCGGGAGTACGGTTTCCCTTGGGTGCTGTGACTCTTCCCAGCCTTGCAGCCGCTACCGTCCAGCTCGCTCAGGGAGCTGATGCAGCCCCTTGCTCTCGAGGGAATGTGGCGTGGGGTCGTCATTAGCCTTAATCTCATTAGATGGGCAGGTGGTTGTAAGTGTGGAACACATCTGTGTTCATCCAGCGACCTTCCCTTTCTTCTGGCCAAGGCATGCTGTTAGCTTGCAGCTTGACTGCCAGCGCTGCTGCAATGCAGGATGGAGCTCTGGTAGATGGAGTGGGGAGGGGGTCTGGGGGGGGGGGGCGGTGTTCAGGTAGCTGCCTCCCCAGCCATCCCAGCTGTGATCGATGGCAAAATGGGACCTGGCACCCTGCCTCGACTACTTTGTTTAACACCTCAACTATGTTAGCGCAAACCCTCAGCAGTGGCTTTAGACCAAGGTGCCGACTGATCAAAGGAGAGCAGATGAGGCGCGAGCACGTGCTCTGCACCCCTAGGAGCTGTCGTGCCTCAAGCTGCCCAGGTTAGGTACCACCGTCCTGCGTCTAGCAGAAACTGAGGTGGTTTTCCAAACATTTCAGCTCGTGTGCTAGCTAAAAAGCCGGCAAACTTTATCTATAGGTCCTTGTGGGTCTTGTAACGGCTGCGGTGCGGGGATGTGTAACTGAGCCAGGCTTGCTGGTCCTCCTTCCAGGTCAGGCAGCAGTTGAGTGAGATGAAGAGCCATGTACAGGATGGAGAAGTAGTGGGGTTACAAGCTGACCCAAGCGAGCCTGCGCCCCTCGAGGTTAGGGTCGTGAGACCGCTGCCCATGGAGGCACTGACCCTTAAGCATGTCCCTTGTCCTGTATCACCGTCTCTAACTGCATGGAGAACTGCACGTGGCTTTGCTCAGGGCTGTCGTGGCTGTGTCGTCTCCTGTTGTGTGTGTTGGGGGAAGCCAGCCCCCCGTCCCTTCAACCATGAGTCCTATTCCCACTGGTAACACATTGCCAGCTGGCTTTTGCCAGGCTGTTCTCCTTGGGAGCCCTCCGTCACGGCATCAGGCTGGCAGGGTTTTGGGGATGGCAGGCAGGGGATGCTGCAAGCCCTTGGGCCAACATCGCCACCCAACGATGCCCCATTGGGTTCGGGGCTTGGATCTGCTCGGAGGAAGGGGATACCCCAACAGAGCTGCACCAGGATGCCTTCCCAGCTGGTGGGGATTAGGATTACAGAGGCTCCATAAATCTTGCTGGAGCTGGGCTGAGGGTGTTAGCAGTGGCTGTTCCCTTTTGGGCTAACACCTCTTGCCAGTGGTGATGCTTCCAGGAACCGGGCTCTGTCTCTCTCCTTTAATCCCGTTAAGTGTGGAGCCTTCTCCCGGGCGCGGGGACCTGCCAGGCATGCCCTCCACTATGGGGTGCCTCTCTTCCCAAGTCCCAGCTGGCGCTGCCTGAGGAGCAGGCAAAATTTGGCAATGCAAAGCCGAGCCCCGGGCTCGCCATCGGCATCCTGCTGGCTTTTGTGCAGAGAGGAGGGGATGCCAGTATCTATTGCCCTTTTGTCCCCTGGGGAAAGCTTCAGTTTCTGTTTCTTCTGTCTAGCCCAGCTTTCTTGGTGATGTCCCCACTAGCTCGTCTCTTGGGTCTTTTCTTTTTATTTTATTTCTGGGTGTTTTCCCCTTTTCTCAACACAGTTGAAAACTCAGCTGGAGCAAAACGAAGCGCTGGTGGAGAAGGAGCAAGTGCTGCGACAAAAGCTGGCGCTGGAGCTGGAGGAGGTAGGTGCAGGCAAGGAGGATACAAGGGTTTGTAAAGCCTTTATGGGTTCTCGGCTGCTAATGAAGCCCTAGTATTAATTTCAAGAATTAATTTGAAGGTTTTTCCCCCATCCCTGTCCACATCTCAGACATTGCCGCATTCCTTCACACATCTGAAGACCTTGTGGCAGCTGTGCTAAAGCCGCGTGGCATTGCTGGCCCCTCAAATTGCCCCCCGCTGAGTCCCCCATTTTTTTGCCAGCTCTTTTCCCTTGAAGGTTAGGGGCTTTAGCTGGGCTTATGCTGCTTCTGGCAAGAAATGCCATCTTCCCGATAGAAGCTGGATCAGCAAAAGCAACGCATTGCGTTTAGCATCCAACTGTCTGACAGCAGCTGTATAACCTAACTCTTCACCAGAGGCAGACCCACTGGGGACCAGGGGCTGTACAGGGCAGGATGCGGGAGGTGCCTGCTGCCATTAGCGCATGTGCTAATTGATTATGTGTCCCCCTTCCAGGCCCAGAGCTCAGCGTGCAGTTTGCAAGCAGAGCTGGAAAAGCTGAGACTGGCTGAAAATGCAGCAGCTTCAGACACGGAGGAGGCCCAGCATCTCAAGGTGATTTGGCTGCCCTGCTCCCTTGTGCTTGGTGTTGAGCCAAGACAGCAAAAGCCGTGTCCGAGTGGGACTGCAGGCATGGTTTATCATTCCTGGGGATGGCGGGGCAAGGTAGATGGTTCCAATGGAGGTAGGTCCCTGCCCCAGGGCTGGCTGTGAGCTCTGGCGTGGCTGAAGGACAGCAGGGTGCAAGTCACAGCCCCTTCATCCAGATAAGGATGATGCTCTGAGCAAACGCTCTCGCAGGCTGGGCTTTTCACATATTGGGAAACCGTTCTGCTCCTGTGAGGTTGTCTCAACCCATGGCGTCTCCTGGGTTTGATGGGGAGCCAGAGTGAGCTGTAGGTGGTGGGGTGACGCCTGGCATCTCCGGCAAAGAGGGAGCTGGGTGCTCCTCCAGCTTGTGGCCATCGAAGTGGCTCAGTGCAGACCTGAGGTGACCAGAGGTGTTTTGGAGGGGGGGAGGTCACCAGACGGCAAAGGGAGGCTCAGGCAGATGCCTTCTTTTGCCTCCCGTGTAGGAAAGACTTGAAAAAGAAAAAAAATTAACAAAGGACCTGGGCCAGGCAGCAACCAAACTACAGGAGCTACTGAAGGTTACCCAGGACCAACTGGCCAAAGAGAAAGAAACGGTGAAGAAATTGAAAGAACAGCTTCAGGAAACGGTACTTGTGGTGTCCACAGCCATCCCTCCTCTTGACACTTTTGGAGGCCACGGGGAAGCACACATCAGGTGGCAGTTTAAAACGGGAGGCAAGGTGGCACCTGCTGCCAGAAACCATCTGGGTGGCTTTTAGGGAGCCCTGAGACCACACGAGACGGTGGTCACAGTTCTCCTGCCCAGAAGGGAGGAACCTGGCCCATCTGCAAAATGCTTCGATGCTTGAGCCACCATGAGAATAAGGTTGAGACCCAGTTGAGTAACCCACCTCTGTTTTCCTTCTCCAGGGGGAAGAGGACAGTTCGAAGGAAGGGACTTCAGTTTGACGAGTCTATGACCTAGACCTTACTGTTCAACTTACCAAAATGCCTTACACATTCCTAAAAATAAAAATATATGCTGAATTTACTGTAGATAAAAGATACAAGCCATTAGTGATCCAAAACCTAGTTTTGAAACTTTAGGAAAAAAATACAAAAAAACCAAAAAAACCCAACCAGTAAACACTGCGGGCATACATTTGTAAGAAAATCTTCATACTGTTTTGTACAACCGTTCATTCCCCAGGCAGCCCGGCCGCGTCGGGGCAGGCACCAGGGCTTCACCCTCCTGTTGCGGCAGAACCCATGAATGTGTGAAAAGGGAAGACTGTGTTTGTACATCAACCGGTGCAATTATTATTATTTTTCTTTTTTTTTTTTTTTTGAATGAAAGAAGTGTGAAAGTAAGACCCACCATGGAAGGAAGCCTCTCTTTGATGGGTGGCTCTTGGCACGTATACTTTTATGTATTTCTGGGTGTCGATGCAATTAAAATGATGATGTAGTGAAAAGAGCTTGTCCTTGCTTTATTTTTCTGGTTATTATTTCATATTTTTGGGGGGGTTTGCAGGCCAGGCAGGTCTTTGGGGTCACTGGAGAATGACCCTGCTTTGGCCAGGAGCAGATCCTTTATTCTCCCCGCTCCTTGCTGTGCTGCAAAAGCCGTCCCCTCTGTTTTTCCTCCAATATAAGCAAAGGATAGAAACTTTTCCTTCCAGCGGCGTGTGTTTTCCGGCTGGCAGTGCACACCGAGCTCCCCGCGTGGGGCCCGGCAGAGGGAGCGCCGCGCGCGCCGTGGCGGCGGGCGACATGGTGGCAGCCGGGGCAGGGTGTTGCTGCACCACGGCTGTGGGGTCACGCTGAAGGTGGGGGCAGGGCACGGCGGGGGGAGCGACGC